ATTAGTGAAGTCGTTAGCGAAAATGTTAGTGAGGTGAAGTGGTTGGCGGCTTTGTAAATATTTAAGGTTAAGTTAGTGTTTGTGTTTGTGTTGTAAAATATACGTTAGTGGTTTCGTAAAGTGTCAAATTCACATATAATGGGTAAGGAGGCGCGCAGTGCCTCAGTACCCATGATATGTTTACTAGCTATCTTACCGATATCATGAGCTCAGGATTTCTTGTCAAAATTTTCTGAGTAGAAGCAATTCTAACCCAGTCCTTTGTTTTCTTTCCAGTGTTGTAAACAGAAATTCATCAAAAGTGACACCTCAGAAAAGCTAAAATATTGAATTTTTGGAACTTTTGATAGAGCACGTTTTTAAATATTAATTTAAGTAAATGTATATTTTGTAAAGATTCTTTTTAATAAAAAAATAAAATTTTGAAGAAGAACACAAAATCTTCTGAAAAATAATATCACATAAACTCATATTATTTTCTAATATATAACTATTTTATATAAAAATCAAATTCAATGATCTTAAAAGCGAAGGATAAACCTCAAAATTTACGAATATAATGAGTGGGAATATAATGCTTATCTATCATAAAACCATATGAAATATTCCCACTCATTATATTCGTAAATTTTGAGGCTTATCCTTCGCTTTTAAGATCATTGAATTTGATTTTTATATAAAATAGTTATATATTAGAAAATAATATGAGTTTATGTGATATTATTTTTCAGAAGATTTCATTCTATATGCCTATGAAAAGTACTCTCAAAACTAACTTTTTCCTAATTATAATTAAATCTAGAATATTGTATTATGCTTAGTATTATTTCATTTTTCTCATTCAATTTAGAATTTACAAATGTCAAAAAATTGAGAGCTGTCACTTTTGATGAATTTCTGTTTATTACACCAGAAGGTGTTATAATGTCTGACAAAGAATATTTGTTGTATTTCTTACAGTATCTTACGTTTAAATCACCAATTCTAACCACTTTGGTGTCATTGTCAATCTTTCTTACTGTTTCAAACTCAATGTTTGACATTACTGTCTTTACATACAAGATAAAAAAATAAATAAAAATAAAAATAACTTTATTTTTATCTTTTATGAAAATTCATGAAATTTGGTCATTTTTCAGCAAAAATAATGTTTAGGTGAAGAGGTGAGATCTCACCCGTTTTCTCACCTGTTTTTTCACAAGCGTTTTACATGAATTGTACGATGTATATTTGAAATCCTAAACAATTTCGTAGCTTCTATTTCTTCTTTTAGTACATCGAATGTTTTAATCATGCCGAAAGTCTCTTTATATTTCTTCTTGATGTCAGACAGAAGGAAATCTTCTGCTGTTGAATAGTTTTTATTAAGAAATGTCAACATATCCATTTTATCTTCTGCTGGCTTTTCTGCTTCTTTCTTTAAGTCTGCATAGTCGTTTCGCATTCTTTCTATCTCTTTGACTGAGTAGTTATATTTTCTTATTGCTGCTTTACATTTTGAACATTGCGGCATCGTTTTTGCGTTATACATTGAAATAAAACCAGCTAGAACAACTAAGGCGTCAATGGTTTTCTTTAACTCAAAAGCTGCTGGTTTTATCTGTTCATTCCATACCTTACCTCTTCTATCTTTATCTCTTATCTGCCATACACATTTTGCAATTAATGAAACAAAGTTATCGTATGTCTTAAATTCTTCGGATTTGTAAAGGTCAGAAATATTTTTATAAACCATGTCGCAATCTTTGTCCATAACTTTATGGTTGCAATGATATCCTAGAAACTCATAGTTTACCTTTCGTATGAACTTCTTTATTTCTACTGAGTCAGTTGCTTTGACTTCAATTTCGTCAAATTCGGGAATGGTTAGTTTTTGTTGCTGAATTTCAGGTAGTTTAGGTAAATGGTCGATGAGGTCTTGCATGTCATAAAGATATTCTTCATTTTCTTCATCCTGTGCGGTACAGTCTAAATTACTTGTTAACAGTTCTTGCTTTATCTTCTGGATTTTTGTTTCGAAAGTATATGAAGAAGGAATGAAGTTTTTCATTTCTACTAACATTGACGTAGGATTCATAACTAACGAGTTTGGTGCTGTTGTGGACAGAGTCCTGCCGTTCGCGGCTTGAATTGCTGTTGTGCCGATTGTTGAAATCATATCTTTACATACAAAATAAAAAAATAAATAAAAATAAAACTAACTTTATTTTTTCTATCTTAAGGAAATTCATGAAAATTCACGAGAAAGCTAAAGCAATCTGAGCCGCTAAGCGGTGAGGGTGAGAAAACAGGTGAGAAAACGGGTGAGATCTCACCTCTTCACCTAAAATATATTTTTGGTGTAAATTTATGACAAAAATAAATGGTACCATTAATGATATCATGACTGTTCTCATTCATGTCTGATTTACATCTAATGAAAAAGTTTAGAAGAATTTTCTTATTCTTTCTGGCTTATTTTTGTCTTTCCAGTACTCCCGCTCTAATGGTCCCAGATGTGTTGACTTTGACTCTCTCAAGTTCTTAGATGGTATAACATCTTCAACGCCTCCTTCATATCTTACTTTATAAGTGTCATCGTTTATGTTATAGCCAAGTATTTCAATAACCACTCCTCGCTTTGCTTCGTCAATGGTTTCAGCAAGTTTGCCATTACTACTTTCAACTAATTTATGTCGAGGGTAAAACACAATAGAGTCGTCAGCAGCTTTTATAAGATATCCATTACCTTGCGTAGAGTCTACGATATAATAGTTTCTACTTAACCTTAAACGTTTCTTTGTCAACGGTTTGTCGTCAAGAACTACACGAACTTTTGTACCAGGAATGAGGGTAAATTGTGTTGAATTTCTGATATTTTGTGTTTGGCTTCGTTTCTTTTGTATATACTTTTCTTCTTGTTGTTGTGTCATTGAATTTGGTGTATGTCCTGTTGTAGAATGTGTTGAGGAATTATATACTTCGAGAAAATGTTTCATTGTTTCTTCGGTAAAGTCTCGCTCTTGATTTAAATCTCTGAGCGTTCTTATGAAGCGGTTTATGATGCCGAGTATGTTATGGTTATGGTCTTCAGTAGTGTAGTGAGTTATGTTATGCTTAATGAGAAATTCTATGATTTCATTGCTGAGGTATGCACTGTCTTGGTCTGATGTTAAAGTACTTGGGCTATGTTCTGCTACAAACTTTTGTAAAACTCTTAACACTTCACGAGTTCCTTTATTTTTCATTGGATATGCATATGCTTTACGAGTGTTAACATTAATGAAGATGAGGAATGGTTTATGTCCTCCTTTTCTGCTTTGAATGAGAGTGTCAAATTGGTATGCGTCAGGAGTGTTGGAGTAAATTGGTAAAAAGTAGTCGTAAGGGTTTATTTTTGTTTGATGTACAACATTTTTGTCAAAGAACCTTTTCACTTCAGCTCTGTTAGTAAATCCCCAACTCTTTGCAGCTTCATTGAACTTCTTAAATGACCTCCATGGATGTTGTTCGAATACTTCTTTCAAGCTCATTTATGTAAAGTTAAAGATTTTATTCAAGGCTCAAGCGCGTTCAATGAACTCTATACCATGCGAATACAGTCATAAATGGTGGCATATAATCTGCACCCGAGCCTGTTGGATTTGTTGTGAAAGTGTGTGAATGATTTCCTGTGGTTCCACAGAAAATACCTGCGCTTGAATCTACTGGGTCACTTGAAATATCATATCTATTCATTCCCTGTCTATCCGAACCTGCTGCAAGATTTGTATAACCTCTTTTTGTTATTGAATGTGAATGACTACCTGTTGTGTTTGTAGTTCCTGTATGAGTGTGCGGTGGAAGGTTTGCTTCTTTAATTTTCTTCGAACCTCCTGCCGTCTTTGAATATCTAGCACAGTATAAGAATTTGTCTACAATCTGCTTCCATTCACCAAAACCTAAAACACTTGCTGGATTTGTTGAGTTCATTGACGTATAAATAGAACCAACAGGATATAATGTTTGAAGTATTTCAGTCTTTAATGTTTGAAGCTCTGTTTTGTCTGCTTTCTTATCTAACATTGCTGGTAGTTCATGTGTTTCAAAGTTTCTGGCATGATCTTCAATGTTCATACATCTGTTATCTAAATTGTTTAGTGTATCTTTTACGCTTGTACTTGGATTCTCTAAAGGTGCACTTGAACCAAGGGTATAGTTCAATATTATGTCGTCTGCTCTAACAGTAGTGAAGGATTTATGTGTATGTTCTTTGTCAGCTTTCTTATCTAACATTGCTGGTAGTTCATGTGTTTCAAAGTTTCTGGCATGATCTTCAATGTTCATACATCTGTTATCTAAATTGTTTAGTGTATCTTTTACGCTTGTACTTGGATTCTCTAAAGGTGCACTTGAACCAAGGGTATAGTTCAATATTATGTCGTCTGCTCTAACAGTAGTGAAGGATTTATGTGTATGGTTCTTGTCGGCTTTACTGTCTAATGTAGCTTGAAGTTCATTTATATCGGAGATATTGTGTTTATGAGATTTCAAAACTTTGTTCATTGCTTCAAGTTCAACTTTGTCAGCTTTACTTTTAATAGCATCTTCAAACGTTATTTTTGACTTAACTCTCAAAGTAAATTTTGGTTCAACTAATACACCGTTAACATTGAAAGTAGAGGCATAAATTTCATTGTTATAACCAAATGTTTCTTGTGCTTTACCTGTGTCATACTGTACAGTACAGCTTATGTCATAACCTTTAGCACGAATGTATTTATATCTTCTTTCATTAACATCTTCAGTGCTTATTTGTTCATCCTGTGTTAAATATCCATGGTAGTCCGTTATAATCTGTTCGTCTGAAGTTATATAATGAACATGGTTCTTGACTTTATCACTCAGAGCTAAAAGCTCATTTTTATCTGCTTTTTCGGCTAATTTTTCATTAACATCATTCACTTCTAATTCAACTCTTCCGCCAGAACTCTTATTATCATTAATCTTTTTCATTAATTCTGTAATTACGTCATAAAGACTATATTCTGTTTTCGGTTCTGTAAATAATGAGTCAAAATTTCTTTTCATCATTACATCGCTGACATTAATGATATCACCAATTCCTTTTTCATTTATTCTCTTCATTAATTCTGCAATAATGACGAATATAAAATCTGTTAATTTATTCTCTTCATCGATGGTTATAGAATGTTTTGAAATTGAATCATTAACTTCTCTAAATAAATCAATAACTTCAGGATACACGTTTTTAATGTCTCGAATAACCCGACCAGTATCCTGTTGTTCATGTTCTTCGTTCCCGTCGTTACGTGGTTTTATATCTCTAACCATCATCAACGCAGCCATAACCGGAGGGTTTGTTGCTATCTGTTCGAAAATCCGTCCGTTATGTACGGTATATCTAAATAATTTCTTTGTGTTTGTTAAAACATTTGAAACAAGTCTTTTAAAACCATCTACAAAATTTCCTGTTTCACCTAATGTTCTTGCAGCATTTACAAGCTCACTCATTCCCGCTTTTGACCCCAAAAACGTCCATATTGCATTTATTTCACTCTGTATAGTTGTCCATTCAGCAAAATTAATACCCGCATTCGCTAAGCTGAAAATGAAATTCAGTGGATCGAACTTAATTCCACCTTCTTTTTCAATTTCAACGAACTCACGAACATGAGATTTTAAGTATTCTTTCGTTAAAATTGTTTTCCCCGATGTTATGTCATTAACGAAACTATCACCGTCAAAAGTTAACGAATTCAATTTCGTCGTTGATGCTTTTATTTCATACACCGCTTTATCGATAGTTTTTGGCTCACCTTCTTTAGAAGCATATGAAACATTAATGAATGAATTATATGTATTCGTGAATGAGTTAAAATCAATGATTTTCATTAATGACGCCTTTAATGATTCATTTACTGTCGAATCCCTTAAAGCAATTAATGAACTGTCATTTATGAAAGGTACACTGCAAACCGTCGAGTTTGGATCAAATGTGTAGTTGGTGCAGGAATATTAATGATATAAGTCATTAAATCATTAAGTGACGTAAATAATGTTGTCGTTTTTGATTTAATTTCTTTAGCATCTGTTATATATGGTAATTTTATTTCTGTAGTTTCTGAATTAAAGATATTCGCTAAAATGTTTTGTAAACTGTTTTGAACAGCTGTGTAAACCGTTGAATCCGGAACTCTTACGATTTCACCGTCCTTAATAAAGGGCATTGCACATGGTGTAGTGCTTGGGTCAAATCTTTTTGGGTTATGATTCAACATATATTCTAATGCTTCATAAACAGACCTATATACTGTTGTATTATCTTTTTCAATAATTTCACCGTCCTTTATAAACGGCATAGTACATGGAGTTAAAATAGGGTCAAACTTTTCATAGTCCTTCCATGTTATGTATTTCTCAGTATTTCCATCAGTGATAACAATATATTTGTCAGTAAGTGTGAGAGAGTATTGACCAAAATATAAACGTTTAGCTCTGTCAGCTTCATACGCATATGCAGCTATACTCATATTTTAATGAGAATAAAATGTTGTTCTATTTGCAAAGTACAGACCCAAACGAATACGGGACAGTAAAGCTACAAACAAACTTAGGTCTACAGAATGAAGCGCTTGCATTCAGAATGGTTGACTTCAATACTATCGCTTCATTCGTTATAACAGATGAAACAGATTTCATGGAGATTGAAATAGATGGAAAGAAGCACGAAATAAGATTTCACAATAATGTAGAATATAAGATGGAAACATTAGCTGGAGTGTTAAATGCTCTCATAAATACTACAATAAACAAGGATAACGAAGAAAACTTAATGAATGTTAAACTTATTGCAGGAGTTTTGAAGTTCAGTTATGCGAAGGAGTTTAAGATAACACGAATGAGTCATAGAGTACAACTTCTTTTGGGTGCATACCATATGACATTTCCTTTGAAAAGTGTTGACAAAACGATTGAGATGAAATCTGTTCCATATGTATGTTATGGTAATTGTTTATACATTGAGTCTAAAATAGCTAATGTCACAGGCATTTCAGGAGTTAATAGTAAAGGTTCAGTAGAATATAAGTCTTTCTGTTATGCAGTCAATTCAATGTTCATTCCAAACGTTCCTGTCATAGCAACTCATTTAGGTAAATGGGTTCGCATTAGTCCTCATAATTTGAAAGACATGCAATTCAGACTTGTTGACTTTCAAGGAGAGCCTGTAGAACTGAAGGCACCAGTGCGAATGACTGTTGAAGTTGACTTTTTAGAAAATATTAAATGCAACAGCTTACAAGAGAACTCAGAGCTAAAAATATAAAGTATGAATGTTATGTATTAGGTCATGAACTTTGGTTGTTGCTGTTTGATGAAACAAATGAATTAGTTATGTCAGTCAAGAGAACAGAAAAATATTGTGTTAGTGAAAACTGCACCAAGTCAATAAGATTAGGTTTGCATTATGAAGATGAGTTCGATACTGTTGAAGAAGTTTTGGATAGATATTACAAATTGCTAACTTGAAATTTTTTTGACTGACGGCACAAAGCGCCAAGATGGGCTCAAAGAGCCCTCCTGACTGCTTTAATTTACTAAAACATATTTCAAACAAAGCTTATAGTCAGTAGATAGTTTTGTATACTCGTTCGAATATCTATACTTAAACTCAACTCCTGTAGTTCCTGGTGTTTCAATGATGCGGATGTTACCTATTTTCATGAATAGTGGAGTTTGACCACAGCATTCGATTTCAGGGTCGAGATAGTCAATGACACATTGTTTCCCTGTTATTCGTGAGATAACATTTTCAAGGTCCTCCTTTGTTAGAATTATTTGGTTCTTGCTTATAAGATTTGTCAAAAGCTTCTTATCGTCTTTGAGTAAAATTGTTTGGTATAACTGAAGAAGGTAATGGTCTACGTTATCTGAAGGATTTGTTTGAACATTTGTGTAAGGATTGTCGTTGGCTTCTCTTGAAAGAATTTGGTCCAGTGGTGGATACTCTAACTTAACATCTGATGTAGCGTTAGCGTTTGAAGCTGAGTTTAAATTCACCGACTTAAGTTCTGGTTCTTTTTCTTTCAAACACTCTGAACTATAGTTCTTTATGACAATATTGTTTGTCGTTCGTGAGTCAACATTTGAAGTTGGTTCAATTGGAACATTAACGGCACCAGCTAAGATGGATTTGCTTCTCATTTCATATAGAATAAAAACCTTTTATATGTATGAAATGAACAATATACTCGACAAGGGTTTGAATGTAAAGCTAACGAATGAAAATATTGTTGAATTCACTGAGACAGGAGCTGTGTATAAAGATGTAGAACTACTGAACAAAAGAGCTAAGGGAAGAAGCAGGAACATGAACAAAGGGTGGAAGCCTATAAAAATTTATGTCAATGATGGCTCAGGAGGTTCAAACATAAAGTATGCAGAAAGTTATAGAGTTTATGCTCTCAAAGGTGAAAAGCCTTCATTTAAGAACAGCTATTCTAACGCATATCCTCAAAAGCTAACGGATGGGGAAGTGGATGATATGAATGACAGCAAAAATATTAACAGAAATGGCGACAGAGATGCATGGAATTTGTTTACCATCAGTCAATTGAAGGTTAAACTTTAAAACAATGTTGGTCGTTCCCATGGAATATTTTTGACTTTAATGGTATTAGTCATGATATGAATCTCAAGGTATGAACGAGGAGAGATGAGAGACTTATATGCTTCCCAAATTTCTTCAAAAGGTAATGTTATACCTGACTGTTTCCAAATGAGTTCAATGTCATAGCGTGAGAAACCTTGAAAGATAACGAAGTCAGTTATGAGACGTTTTATGTTTAAAGCTAAAAACCTCCATGTTTGCATAAGTATTGCTACAGTTAAGTGGTAATGTCTGACTTTAGTAATGATGTTAGCTAATGGTGAGTCTGGTTTTGACACTAAACCTTTTCCGGCGAAGTCGTCACAAACGAGCAGAGTGTTTGAAGGATATTTTTTGAAGGGGTATTTTGAAAGTTTTGATAGAATGTAGTTTGTCAGTTGTTTCATATCGTAAACTCCTGAGTATTGACGTAAGTGGTGTTTGTAAATAATTCTTTCCATCTCTTCTGAAGTCTTTTGCATTCCTGACTGTATAAATTCAACGATAGCATAATATTTCCTCTTACGTCGAATGTAACGTTGAAGAAATTCAATGAGTTCACTGTCTGGAACTTTAACGACAGAGGCTTGAACTTTTGACATAAATGTTTTCGCTGTTGAGTCCATAGAGTCTGAAGTTGCTGATATAATGATTTGGTCATAATATGAGTCATTTCCTAAACGTTCTGTTATGAGTATATGACGAATGAGGTTAAATGTCTTACCTGAACCCATCTTTCCACAATAGAAATACACACCATTTGAACAGAACTCATAGTCCTTACTGAAAGGAAGAATGAGAGAAGAGTTAAGTTTGTCTGTAGTTTCATTCATGTCTTCATCTACGTCATGTATTAAATGCTTCATTTTATCTCCATTAAAAATGCAAGTCAGAAATATTCAGAACATAGCACCGAGTCTAACTGACAAGAGTATAAAGATATACTATGAACATGTTATGATGAAACCTACCAAAATTCAAGAAAGTCAGTATACTTATGAATATCCAAGACACTGGGTAGAGTATGTAGGAGGTGAGAAAGCTATTGAAATAAGACAGGTTCGAAGTATTCCAGCAGGAAGAACAATATTATTGAAGAACTTTAATGTTTTGAGGTATAATGATGAAACAAAGAAGCAAGATAGTTTTCCTGTTGCTGTGTATGTGAACTTAGATACAGGAGATGACATGAAAGTTTTTAATACAAAGCTTCAAACGGTAGTGAGAGAACAACTGACTGCGGAAGGGCATCCATTACCTTCAGAAGTTACCATAGCATATAATTTTGAAACAAACTCAATAGATTTTAAAGTCATCTCTGCAAAGAAGTCAGGTTTTACATTTAATGAAGCAGATGTATATTCGAATGAAAACTTCAAAGCTATTGCATGGTTAGATAATGACGATTGCTTTAAGAAAATATTTAAATACAGTGACTCAACGATGTCAATAGATGACCTTCGTGGAATGTTACCATCGACGTTTACAGTAGAAGGTTCAGCAGGATTGCTTACAAGATTGTCAATTGGTGGTATTTGGTCTCGTGAGAACATTGTTATAAAATCCAGTATAAGTGAATTTGCTGAAGAATCTATATTATGTCTTTCAAACTATATGTATTCGCCGCCAAAGCATTATAGTATAACAAACTTTGTCAGTAAGTTTAACATAAGACTTGTTGAACCTTCTTCAATGAGAGATGTTGTGCTACCTAAAGATGGAAAGGATGGACTCATTATTGAAATGATTTTAATTGCATATTAAATGAGCTTGTTCTTGAAGGTCATTCATGATGAAATAACTGTTGTAGAAGATGTTAGCAATTGTTCAGACATTTTGAAGCGTATAGATGATATAAGAAAGAAGTTAGATAGACCGCAAAGCGGTGAGGGCGAAGCCCGTGAGAACGCTTATGTTTCATTGACTTTCTCCAGTAACGAGAACTTTTATGAGATAATATTGAAGAGAGATGATTTTAATATGGTGTAAATGGTAGCTTGGTCAGCTTTAGGCGCAATGGGAACAAAAGCATTAGCATTTGGAGCAAAAGCACTTGGAGCTTATGACGCAGTAAATAAAATGAGTGGAGGAAGGGTTTCAAAGACATTAGATGCAAATAAAGGGAAGATTGGAGGCTGGGTTGCAAAGAAGTTAAGATTAAATAAAATAGGGCTCATAAATAAAGCATCCAATTTGGTTGCGACTGAGTCAGAAAATGCTTTAGGAAAGGACGATGAGTTTGCAA